CAGCAGCCATCTCCAACTCCTGCCTGGCATCCTCTGACGTTTCCCATGGCCACAGGAAATGGAAGATTAAACAGAGGCCCGTGGTGACCATAAACACACTGCTCAGTTGGGAGCATTCCCCAGAGGCCAGCAATGGGTGATGGACGAAGTCACGATGTCGTATCGTAAACAGGAGAAAACCCCCACTGCTATCCCTGTGTCCCCAGGAATCAGTGCAAAAATAGGCTGTGCCCCTCTTATCCCCATCCAAAAATCTGTCAGGAGCCAAGGAAACATCTCTGCAGAAAGCATCAATGGGACACTTGGGGTGTCTTTCTGCCAAAGCTTTTCGAGCAATTTTTGCCTCAGCAGAACCTCCCCAGCAGCTCAGAGCAGACAAGTGTTAGGGATTTGGGGATGGGAGGAGGCAGACCTGCTTGTTCAGCTGCCTTTCAGAGCCAAGAGCATGAAATATGCTAATCCTGCCCATCTCTGCCAAGCACTGCAGACCCAGAACCACTGAATGCAAAATAAAACTTTCACCCAGCTTCAACCAGAAGTGAAATGAGTGCCACAGCCTCAGCTACAGAACTCATGCATGCTGGAAAAACAGATCTCCTGTTACCCAGAAGAGCTGGATGTCAGCCAGTGACCTGTGTCTATGTCCCATCACTCTCCACCTCCCTGCTGCCCTCAAGCCATCCATCTTGCCTGAATTTCTCAGAGCCCTTAAACCTTAAAGGAGGTCACAAAGCAGAAAATCATGATGCTGCAAGGAAAGATCCCAGCTGGAGCCAAAGGGCACCGGGCAGGTGGCTTCACAATGACCCGGCTGACCCTCAGCTGCTCTCAAAATTGTTGCCCTGATTATACTAATCCAGTTAAAGGCCAATGCTTCCTTCAGATGAACACAGCTGACAGTTCATCCCTCAAAACCATTTTCCTGAAAAACCCCTAAGCAGAATCTTTCCTCATCAGACACCATGCCAGCCATTCACACTTCCTCAATCCTCTTCCACCTCTGACAGACATCAAATTTCTCCTGTCCACTCTCATGTTGCTGAGCACAGACAGGCACCAAAGGCCTCATTATAAGCCAGTAACCTCAGTCTGCCCCATGGAAGGCTGACACATTGCACCTCAGACCTCATCCCCCTCCCCAGTCACTGGGAGGGTCAGTAGCCAGGAGGTTTTTATTGCAGGAGCCTCAGCAGAGGTCATGTTAAGCTGCAGAGGTCAGCAGAAAGGTCTGCAGCTGGGAGGAAGAGGAAGACTGATGCTAACAGCAAACTTTTATTCGATTTATGCTAAGGCAAAAGAGAGCCAGCCAGACTGCCTGCCCCAGAGAACACCGTGCCAAGACAGAAAATATTCAAGCTCTTCCTGTTTCCCCAAGGTCACAGTCAGAGCTGTATCTTTTACTACCACGTTTTGGATATTGGCCTCTCAGGCAGCAGATTACAACCAGCAGCATTTGAATGTACAGCTCCCAAAAGTCAAATCAGGTGTTGAACAAAGAGTAGGAAGCAGTGTGAGCATTCTTGTATCTCTCCATGCACAGGTGCCACAATCAGCCTTTGTAAAGGCTGGAGCTCCAGACAGGAGTGGCAGGGTCAGTTCTAATCATCATCCCAGACATACCACCCTTGCATTTCCTTACAGTACTACTAAAAATAAAATTCAATAAAAACACTTCACCCAATGAAAATTTCCACAGTTCTCCAGAGCTGCACACTACTGGGACAGAGTTTAGAGTCCTCCCCCATCCCACCTCTCCCTTTTCTCTCCTCACAGAGAATTCAAAGTAGCAGGAAGATGAGGAGCCCCTGAGAGAATGCCCAGACCTGGGTTTTTTCTGCTGCTGCCAACAGCTGATGGCTCTTGGAGACAGCAATGGATGAAGGACTGAGCCTCAGCCTGAGCAGGCAGGCACTCCCTTCACAGAGATGGTGCCTCAGACCTTTGGAAAGGCAACAGCAGACAGGACCATAGGTACCTCCTCCAGAGAGGGGTATGGTTTGCACAGCTCCTAAACACCTCCCCTGCAGCTCAGCCTGCCTGCATGCAGCCAGAAATGCCTCTCAAGTCCAAGGGCTCACCCACAGCAGGCAGCCAAAGAGGGTGGAGTCCTTCCAAAAGACAGCTCCTAGGAATGCACAGGTCACAAGAGATGAGAGGCAGCTAGAGATCAAGCAGGGCCCAAAACAGTTATTTTTGCTTTATCAGTAGCTAATCAAAATAATGTTTCTAGGATGTTTTTATCACGAAAAGGCTCACAAATGAGAGCTCTGGTAAAAAAGATCTACACACAAAGCGGAGCAATCTCCTGAGGTAGGTCAAAAGAGCAAACAGCAAAGGCTGCTTTGTGAAAAGCAAATATATCATAGACACTCGGGAGATGAACAGAAATGCAGGCAGAGAAGCACAGGCCACAGACTGCAACTAACACGAAAACAAATAACTTACACGAGGTTTACTGACCACAGAGGTCAGATCCACTCTACTACTCACAGAAAAATGGGTCTTAACACCAGGCTGCAGCAGCAAGGTGTAGTTCATACTAGGAAAAGTGTGTTTTGAGGGTGTATTTTACACCAGTAAAGCCCTGCCCACAAAATAAACCGGACCAGCTGAAGTGGTTTCCACCAGCAAAATGCCATCCACATCAGGCCTTGAGCTGAAATAAATGCTTTTAGAGATAAAAGAGGAAAGTAAACACAAGAAGCACGACCTCCTGCAGCACCTAGCTACAGTTATCAGATCTTCACTGCCATTGCTGCACCGAAATGATCCCACTTCTAGAAGAGCTTTTGAGATCACTCCAGAAGAGGAGGATGACACTGTCCTTCAGCAGTCCTGGCTACCTGCACGCAGGGAGAACCCGGACATAACACCTCCTCTCCTCAAGCTGGTGAAGAACAAAGTACTCAAACCAAAAGGTTCTTCATTGTTAATGAATGACCCAGCCGACCTTTACCCTACACAAAGAAAGGGAATGCTTTTTCCAGAAAGATCAACAGTGATTTCTCTATCAGAACAATAAATATTTCCCTCGGTATGGCAGGCAATGCTTTTCTTTCCTTGGCTGGCATTGACATAGAGCACGAAAAGACCTAATCCAAACCATAGCTCAGTCTCAACACTTTCCAAAACAAAAACAAGTGATGCCATTAAACTAAAAGCGTGACACATGCCTGAGGCTTTGCAGAACATGGCTCAAACCTCATCTACTTTGCACGTTGCTCTGGCACACTACTTTAATCCCATTGCTATCAAGTAACAACAGATCGTAGTAACAGGACACTCTCGAAGCTTAATCCACACTATAGCATAGGTGCAAATTTCCCAGGGACTGGTTGAGTTACACTGTAATGCTGTACATGTCCTTTCATTCAGCATGTAAACCACCTCATCTCAGCCCAGTTAGTTCAACTCAAAAAACTAATAAAGGCAAATCAAATCCAGTCTACTTAAATTGTGAATATAAGCATCTACACAGGGATTTAATTCACTTTAATCAACCCACTGGAAAGGTTAATTGGATTCATTTTCTTGAGTTACCAACCATGTGTGGACAGACTCTAAGGATGAGATCTCTACCACACTAAAATGGCCAATAACAGTTCTGCTAATGACTTAACAGGAGGAACATTAACCCCTAAAACATCAGCTTCAGCTTTTGTTCCAGTAACACTGAGTGAAGTATTATAGGATGACAGGAGGTCAAAAGGAAACCCCAGCTGTCTGCGCCGAAATAGGTCTTCTACTCTTGGCTAGCTAAATCATCAAATTCACAACTGCTGTTTTGTAAGAATTGAAATTTGCCACCAGTGGCAAGGGAAACAAGTTTAAGGAAGTTTGGTTTCTTTTAAGCAGGAAACCATTGCTCTCTATTACTAGAGAGTAAATCTAAACTAACTTGATTATGACAGAGCTTCTACTGGTTTATATCACAAATCACTGTCAGAAAGAACAAACCATCTCCTACAAAGCTTTCTAAACGCAAAGCAGCTCCAGGGCACATTTAATTGAGTTCAAAGGCACACGTGTGAGGCAGGCACTGCGCTAGCAGGGAAGCCGAGGCCTGGCAGAAGGTGAATCCGTGCTCTGAGCACAGGCCGAGCCAGCGGGACCCCTGGAAGCGAGGGGGGCACGGGGGGGTCTGCGGGGTGGGAGCGGCTGCTTGGCGCTCCCAAGCCCAATGCAGAGCAGTGTTCCTAAAAACCAGTACGTTAATGTTTGTAACCGGGGCCTCAACATCACCAGTGCCCCTCAAATCGCCAAATCTGTGGATATTCACAGTTCTGATGCCATTTTTCCAACGGCCCGAGCGGAGCCTCCGACCCCGGCCGAGCCGTGACTGCCAGGGACAGACAGACAGACGGACAGACAGACATCGCTGCTCGTCCATCTCCCGCAGGGTGCCCCGGCAGCCTCAGGCCCCGCGGGAGCGCAGCCCCGGCCGGCGCCCCCAGCCCGTCTGCCCGGGCGCGGCGGGGGGAGCGCGGCGGCAGCGCCGGCGGCAGCCTCGGCCCCGGCGCAGACAAAGGGCTGCGCCCTCCTCCCCCAGCGCCGCTCCTCGCTCGCTCCTCCCGGGGAGCAGCGGCGCTGCCAGCCCGACCCCCGCCGCTCTGCCGGGAAGGGGAGCCGGAAGCGAGGCCAGCACAGCGGCCACGGCTCTCTGTCCAGCGACTGCGGCTCTGTGCAGCCACTGCCGCCGCTCCGCCGCCGGCCTCCGCCTCTCGTCCCCTCCCGCCACCCGCCGGACACCCGCACCGGCAGCGGGACAGCCCCGGGAGCCGCGGGGCCACGGCCGGAGCACGGAGCGCCCCGTCCCCTCCCGCTGACCCGGCTCCCCGCCAGCGCCGCGAACCGCAGCGGCGCCTGGAAATTGTAAAATGATAACATTTAAGAAAAACCACCCCGAACCAACAGTTTCTCTGCTTGCCTCGCTCCCATTTCCCTCACACCGCCCCGTCCCGTCCAGCGCCCCCTCCTCCCCGCGCCGGGGTGAGCCGCACCTTCCTTGACTCCGGGCAGCTTGGAGTGGTCGATGCCGATGCCGGCCATGGCCGGGCCCGCGCCCCGCTGAGGGCGGCCCCGCTGAGGGCAGCGCGGCGGTGCCGCCCGCGCCCCGCACCACAAAGTTGGGAGCGGATGGAGCCGGCGCGGTCGGGCCGTACGGCGCGGGAGAGCGGACAGAAAGCGCCGGGCGGGGCGGAGCGGGGCCGCCTCGCCGCCCCTCGCCCCCCTTCCGGGGAGGCGGACGGGGGCGTCCCGGGCTGCTTCCCCCTCCCCTTCGCCGGCGGGGCTCGGGCAGCGGCTCAGCGGGACGGGCAGCTTCCGAGGGCAGCTATTTATACATTTGGGGTTTTATTATTATTGTTATTATCATTATCATTGTTTTATTGTTTGGAGGGGGTTGAGGGGGTGTTGGTTGCTTTGGGGCTACGCCGGGAGGCCGGGGCGGCTGTCAGAGCGCTCGGACAGCTCCGCTCCCCGGCGCTCTCCCGTACCAGGTCCGGCTGCCTGTGCCCCGCATCCCCAGCCAGCCCAGCCCCTGCTCGCACTGTCCCGCCGGCCTGGCAGAAGCAGACGTGTCCCGGGGCAGCCCCGGAGCCACTGCCCAGCGGTGCCATGGCCCCGCACCTTGTCCCTCAGGGCAGGGGCGGTGTTGGCACGGCCACTGAGCCCTGTGAGAGGCCTGCGGACCCTGGCAGGGCTCTGCCGCACACGGGTGGTGCCAGCTCTCGGCGGACACGGAGGATTTACAGCTGCTGCCCGCCTTGGTTTGCCGGCAGCAAAGAAACAGAACGAGATGGTGTTCCGTGGGCAAAGGGGAGAAGATAAGAGGAAGAGGATTTGGGGTTTAGGGATGTCTGAGCTTCTCTGGGCTGTGCTCAGCACAACCAGTCACTCGTCAGCTGTTATGTTTGGTCATAATTTGTGGTGCTGAGGACTGTGCAAGAAGAAGAAGAAGTTAATATTGTCATGTTAAAAATTAGTTACTCCCAGCATCTGTTCCAATGAGCCATGGCTCCTGTGCCACTGGTGGGCAGGGGATACAGAGGCTGAGCCCATTTCCTGCTCCCCCTCTCCAACAGGCTCAGGGAAGCTCTGCCCTGTGGGTGACTGCGATGTGAGCTGAGAGGGAGACAGTAGGATGTCAGAAAAAACATCAAAGGGAATAACATTTCCATTTTATTAAAAAGCAAAAACATTGAAGAAAATGGCCAAAAAATTACTTCCAGAAGGTTAACCTTGTGCTACTCCTGAATTTTCCAGTCCTGTTTTCTGAAACTCAGCAACTGTCTCTCCCAAAAATTTTTTTTTTTTCAGTTTCCATGCCATGTCCCTGATATCTTCCCCTCTGAGTTGTGTCTTCCTCCTTGACTTTTTCCCCTGCTTTTGCAACATCTCTGAGCTTAGTTTTGGCATGGTTTGGTCCTTTGCAATGCAGCTCATTTTCTCACATCCTATTTTTTTGGTCTTAGGGAAAGATTTTTAATTCCTGGGAAGGAATTAAACAGGGAATGAGTTCCTGATGTAATGCTAGTACTGCAGCAGCATCACATCTTAGGGTCCCTCAAAGGGCTCCTCAGTGTGGTTGATCTCAAATCACCCTCCCAACCCTCACTTGTGTCTGCAAGCTGCAGCTTCTATGCAAAAAGCATGAAAGGTGTTTGTTCTGAGTCTGTCATCAGCTTTTCCTCTGCAAATTGTACAGCACCTAGCTTGACAAGTAGTACATCTTGCAGTGGGTAGGTGAATCCCAATAACTCTGGGAAAAGTAACCACTTTATGTTATTGAAGATAACAAGACAGTGACCCTTCACTCTTTTATAAAAGCAGGTACTTATTCTCACAGGACCTTCTGTTGGAAGAAAAATCCATATTGTTTCTCATGAAAAAAGCAGAATTTGATCTGATTTTAACTCTTCTCTCATGGAGTAATTTAATTCAGAAGAGATTTTGCAGGGCACTAGTCCAACCCCCCGCTCAAGGCAGGGCTGGCTACAAAATCTGATTAGTTTGCTCAGTGCCTTCCCCAGGTGAGGTTTGAAAATCTCCAAGGCTAGGGATCACACCACCTCCCACTATGATTTTTCTCCTTGTGACTTGGTGGACTTCTGGCTGCAGCTTGCAAATCTGGACCCTGGTCCTTGCACTGTGTGCCCAGCTTGGCTCTGCTCTCCATGGCAGAGCACATGTACCAGGCACATCTGTGAGGGGCGTGCTCCACCAGACAGCTGGGGCAGGGGCTCAGACGTGGCACTGCAGCTGGACTGTGCCACCACACAGCTATTAAACACCAGGCTGCTCCAGATACCTGCATCCAGGCATCTGATCTGCCCCTAAACACTGGAGTAAAGCCAGACTGTTATGCAGGTACACCACACAACATTTTTCCAGTTTTCACAGCACTGAAAACACTCCTGAGAGGATGCACAAAGGAGAAGTTGGGATACTTAAAAACAGAAAAAAAAAAAGGCAACACGATCTGGACTGGCCCTCAGAAAAGTCACAGTGAGCTTTGATGAGCAGGAGCTGCCAGACAGATCTCTGGGACTAGGAGCTTTATTGCTTTATGCTGCTAAGATCTTTCTCCAGGCAGGCAGAGACTGTTTTGTGCTTGCTTCTTAAATAAACTGGGCACCTCTCCAAGTCTCCTGCTGTCATTTTAGGTCAACAGGATAACAACAACTGTGAAATAAATTAAGTCTCATCAAGATGTTCACTTTTGACAGAACAGTCTTTGTTAAAGTCTCCTTAATGACGGCAAAGCTCACTTCCAACTGATGAGGCTGCTGTCCGGATAGACACAGAGGATAATTATCCTACAGGCAGGAGCTTGTGCATCCATTAATGCTTAATGCAAAGGGATGGGGAAAATGGTTCTAGGTCTCTCATGCTATCAGGCATTGCACAAGCCCATATCCAAAACTAGTATCTAAGAGGTGACTGATGCTGGGGAACTTCCTTCTGGGGACATAGGCTCTGGTTTTTCTCTCCAAAGTCAAATTCCTGTATAAAGCTATAAAACCCAGTGCAGGACTACATTCCATCTGCACGAGGCCTGAAGGATGTGAGTGCATTGTTCCCCACTGTGATAAATAAAAATCAAGAACAGAACCTGCCCCCAGCCCAGAGCAAGGATGCTGCAGGGCCTCCCAGGTAGGGAGACAGGTGATGTAGTGATGCAGGGGAAAAAACAGACAGGAAAAAAAAAAAAAACCAAAAAACACTTCATACATCAACCTCCCTGCATTTCTAAGCTAAGACACTTCAGGAGAGGTTTGAAGTCCTGTGCCAGAAGGGGTGGAGGAGAGGAAGCTAACATTACAGCATTGGCAAGGAGCGCCAAGAAGCAGGTGTGTAATTTCCGTAGGTAGCTGAATGGTGCCTTTGGGAATTCAGGATCCCTGAAGAACAAGGAGAGCAGAAGCCTGCAAGGATTAAGGTATTATAAAGCTCACCAGGGGTAATGAATGGGGTGATTGCAAAGAATGAGCAGAAGAAACATAACTTGTGCTTACATTTAACATAACGAGGAGCACTAGGAAAATCATGAGCCATGCCACAACAGAACAAGGGGGTTTTTTGACTGTCAAGTTGGAGAGTAAACATGTGCAATCTGAAGTGAGACATGCCTTCCAAAAATCTCACTTAGAGGTTACATAGTAGATGAGAGAAGAAGAAAGTAGCTAAATGTGTCGTTTCTTACTCTTATGTCAGAAGAGCAGAACCCACCAGAATAATACATTATTCACTTAGTGCACTTCAGGGAGCTGCCTGCAAGCCCACACAATCGAGGCATAAGAAGCACAACAAATGTGGCAGCTAGTGATGAAGCACCTTGGTCATTCTCAGATATTTACAGCCACTGCTATCTGGATGAAACCTCACCAGACTGATGCTGTAAGAAGGAATTTGAGGAGGGTTGAAGTCGGTGCAGTTCTTGCCTAGCAGTGACTTTGCTATATTCCACTAAGAAAAATTTCTAGGTCTACCTAAAAAAAAAAATCACCTTATATGATTGCACCTGCCCCTCTTCTTCTGGATTAAAAAAATAAAAATAAAAAATTCCTGTGTTATCACTTGTGCCAGATTTGCTTCCCAGGCTGCAGGGTGGTAAGGCATGAATATGTCCTATAACCTCAGTTGGAGCCCACATTTCAAGTCACTCAACATTCATTCAACAAAACACTCTTTTGCATGTGTAGAACTCCCAGACTCTCAGTAGATCGGGGTGCAAATGAAAAGCTAAGTTAGAAGACAGGCTCTCCAAAAGGCAAAGTTTTTGATTATCTGCACAAGTTTCACCAAAACACTACAGCTCTGTGTATGCTCCGAGTCATCCCTTGGGTGACTTGTAGTGACAGTTTTCCAAAAAAAATGGGCAACATTTATCAAAAACCAAAACACCAGATGGTAACTGAGCAGGAAGAGAGGGAAAGGGGACTGACAGTGAAAGCTGGCACTGTTAGCAGATAGAGCTGACCTCCACAACCTTAAAAGTGCCCTTACTGGTATTTTTAGCAGGAAATTACCCAGCCATGTCTTTACTCATAGTAATACATGCACAAGCTACATTCATCAGGATGAACTTGGGGCTTGGAGAAGGCAAGTCAGAAGAGAGAGGGGTGAAGCTCAGGGTAAATCTGGTGGTTTAACCAGGTCATCGCAGATCATGCCTCTTCAGGACACTGTCCTGGCATGGAGGTCAGATTAGTCAGATTAGATTACACATACACACCAATATTTACCATTCAGGAGCATCACTGGAACTGTCTTTGGGAGCAGCAAGTCACAGCACATTTCAAAGCAGAAAATGTTTCCACATTGCCTTCCTCTCCTCACCAGGAGCCTCAGCCAAGTCACCCCAGTCAGTAGGGAAGCTGATTCTAAGAGTTACTTCAGCTCAGGATTGAGGCAGAAGTGAGAACTGGGGCATGACTGCCTTTGCTCCCTGTTTCCTCCCTAGGCTGCCTCATCCCACATCCAACACCATCAGAGTCCTGATTTACTCTTTCACCCCCTCACTGCAGGGCAACACTTTGGAGCTGCCTTGTTCTCTGAGAAGCTGAATGGTTCCCTGGCAAA